ATTTGTTGCTCTGGATAACGTACCATCACATCCTATTCGTCGTCTTGCTCCAAGATTTCTATACTTCCTTTTCTAGCTTCATCGTAGAGATTAATAGGATCGTGTGGAACGAAGTCATTCCACCTCGTCATCCAAGTGTAGGTAGTTCTGTTGTAATAGAAAAAAGAGCCAAATAACCTAAGGGAATAGCTGATCACGTGACGAACTACCTGGATCTAGCATTGTCCTTTCTCGGATGATACACATTCTTCTGAAAGTCTAGAGACATTACTGATTTTAGTAAATAAAAACTAAAGGTACGTTCAGTGTCTATTAGCAACTCGTCCTCAGCAATTGCAGGCTTTGATAAATCAATACTTTGGCCAAACGGCATACAAAGAAATAAATACAACAAGCGCTTTCAATAAACACTTCGGATTTTGCTATCTCAAAGTCATCAAATAATCATGTTCAATTTCCATTTGAACAGCAATCCAAAGTATTCAGGCCCGGTAATTCTTTAAAGAAAATCATATGACGAATATTGTTGGCTTAAGATCCTTCGCAAAAGAGAGCCAAGAGTCTTACTCTCCTGAATATACGGATAACTATAATCTATGTTTATATTATTAGCTATGGAAAATATTTCACACTTCATTAGCTCTTTTCAGACATAAATTGTATCGTAGTTACACTCAAGGGATTTATATAAATGTCTATCTATTAATATATTTGACAATTGTTCATCAAACTAAATTCTATAAATTATATGTCAATGTATTTATTTTCTAGAACAAAGTCCAAGGGATTTCCTCTGCAGAGAAGTTTCAAAATATGGACTTGACATATTGAATACTCCGATTTGTATAGCCAAACTGCAGCACTTGAACACAACACAGGAAGATTTTATTCAAGAATTTGATCAGGATGCTGTAGTATTTCGCAATGAATATAAAGCAAAGACTAACAAACTCTTGAATCAGTCTTCTTCAGTATTCCTTATATGTACCATACAAACCATTGGAGAACGGAATTTGCTGCTGATTTATGTCACTATTCCTCGATGCCAAACAAGCATACAGCGTCTCTTTGATGTTCGACTTCTAAGAAGCAGCGATAATATAACTCAAGTGGTTCAAGGAAGCATACATCCAATATACAAAAAAGTTATTGGCTATACAGTTCTCGGGAATAAACATTCAAAATCAATCATCGCTTGCTGTACGTTGATATCAAAATGAAACTGGAATATAATTTTTACGTTGATATTATTAATATTCCCAGCCTCCGTCTATATGACTTAAATACACATTTAGAGAAAAAATGGGACATAAGTGAACCTAAATATTTTAAAGGGGATAAGCTGTTTATAAACACATTCGCCGATCATATCAATGAAGCTCAAAAGTATAATGACGAATTCTTGAGAAACTGGAAGAATGAAAACAGATCAACATTAAGAGTTATAGAGAAAGTATCAGAAGTATACTCCAGAATTTTAGACAGCAATCAACTGCAATATTTTATTGAAAATATTGATAATATACGGTCGAAATTCCCGAATAAAATGTTTGAGATGTGCTATTCAGTATTAGAGGAAGATTTTAGCACTTTAGCGGAGTTGTGTGACAAGAACCCTAGGATTCCGTTTGGGGTTCGGCTAATGCCTCTATGTAATGTTGAACACTTGTTCTCATCGCAGATGATTGAAGGAGATAGGGAATTATTAACCTTCATAAAGTTTAAATATGGAGCATAATGCTGTATATCAAGGGCATTGAACAAAGTGTGTTGTTATGTCTCGACTCCGCCCTCTTACTTGCCAGTCCAAAGAAAAAAAAGACTTATTAATATTTCTCTCCTAAGAGTGGGCTCCATTTCACTTCACATTAACAACTGTACTTTCCTTCCGTAGAGTTGTCGATAAGTACTGTACACGACAAAATTATAGGATTGAGGAGGTTGTATGCATACCCTTTGCCTTTTTTATTGCATTTAGCCTTCTTTCAAAATAAAAGAACTTGAAAATGTTGTTTTCTTTTTATTAATAAAATTAAAAATATAATAAATTTGAAAAGTTGAACTAAGAACTAACATCTAAGACTTTGCAGATTTATAGAAATCTTTATCTGATATCTCTTCAAATTTTTTGTATTTTCTAAGACAAGATCAGCTTCTCTTTTTAACTCGTCTAAAAGATTCTAAAATGATTTTGCTGTTTCCAGCACTTACATTTAACCTGTTTTGAAATCCTTCCACACCATTGTAGGCTCTTATGGCAACATCAAAAACAGACCATAATGAGCATGGCTATATTCTGTTTTAATTGCTTGGCCATTGCAAAAATTAACACTATTTCATTTTGATGTAATAAGTCACATTGGAGGAAGCCATCGGCAATAAAAGAATGATTATGTATAAACGCCAAAGATTCTGCTTCTTTTGGTCGATTTTTCCCTCTGCAATAATTAACAACCTGCTTTCAAATTGTAATTTTTGGAAAATTTGAACTTTATTCACATTGAAACTTGTTCAAGTAATTAAAAAGACAAAGAACTATTACGATGTAATCTATAGTTCATATACAGTATATACTGATTATATTAGTATATTGATAAGTATGATTAATAATAATTCAAATGTCATATTTTTTAATTTTCGACTAGTAACTTTCACAAAAAGGCAACATGATTCCAAATGCTGTTAAGGTTGAGTTCATTGTTCAGTGTTGGCTGTTGCCAAGAACCTTGTTGAAGATCAGTTCTTCTACGATAACAAAACGATATAATTTACTGTATGTAACCGTATCAAACGGTTGCTGTATTCTAATTGACTACTAATTGGTATCGATATAATCACGTGTGGATACACTTGATTACGTAACTACGAGATTGCATCTCGCGGTGAACGATTTCGAGATTTAACACTTTGTATACATAAATATATATATATATTGCCCCCAACCGTAATACTACATTTAACTCTGGAGATCTTGGAAGTTCTCCAACAAACCTAATAACGGGATGACAAAATAAAAAAGAACACAGTAGGTAAAACGCGATTCTAAAACAGTATACAAAGTACTGAACAAAACAAATTTGATTAATTATAAAATACTTCCAAATTAACAAGTTTCAGTGTTTTTTTGCTGGCAAGTAAAAGGGCGGAGCCGAGGCACAACAACACACTGTGTATGTAAGGATTCAGCTATTCAGAAGAGAACTTGTCAAGTGTATATCTCAGTTGGCTCTCAAGAACATTTTATTATTGTTCGTTGGCCGAGAGATCTGAGAAAAAATACTGTTCGGTTAATTTGAACTCTTCCGGACTGTTGAACGACATTAGATTTATTGCTCGATCTCTATTCATGTACGGAGGTCGAAATGGCAACCATGGATATGTTCTGCATAATTCTTCGTACATCCCCCAGTTTTCATCAGACAAAAATTGCAGTGTCTCCTCAAAATACCCGTTTTGCGTTGTCAATTGTTGACGGATATTTGGTATATTCTCCACAAAATATCCCAACTTATTTTGTCTATAGGCTTCAGTATAGACGTGTGATATGTTTATCAAGATCTCAATCAGACCCATATATTTTTTGATTAGTGCAGTAATGACTGAATCAATACTATCCCGAATTTGTATCAGATAGTTACCCAATTCCTGAATGTAGTATCGATGTCCTGGAGAGAGCTGTGGTTCGGGTATGTTTAATTCCCTCTTTGCATATATGTAGAGTGTTTCTAAAGAATTTCCAAATGTGTTTTTATCAATGTCCCTCATTAAACAGCAACTAAGAGGGACAATTAGATCAACCTTTGGAAAGTGACGAGTATCAAAATCCAAATCTCTATCGCCAAATGTAGAGATACCTACTACATTGAGAGTGATGTTTTCCCTATCGAGCAGGCTCATCAAGTACTCGAACGTTATTTGTTTTTGTTCTTTAACCTCAACCTCGATGAGGTAACTTGTTCTATGATTCTCACCCAAATTTGTACAACACCCGAACAAGCGAAATAGACATTTCGTGCTGTGTCTTTCAATAGAACATTGTAAAAATATTTTTCCACATTTTCCGAAGGTTTGTTCCCTTAGCTGTTGAATTTTATTGAAACGTTCAATTGTCTTTTCATAAAAATGCCGCTCAAAGTCATTTCTTATTCTTAAAGTATCAAGATAAACTGCATCCTTAGACAAACATCTTTCCAACTTTAAACCTTTCGAAATTTTTATTTCGAACAAGGCTTTTAATACATTAACATGTAGGTCAGAAAAGAGATGAGACATTTCTTCGCAGGGTTTAATATATGCATATATAAATGCGCGTGCGCAATAAGAAAAACCACGAACCCTGATAAATTTATCGAAATATTTTTTTCGTAACATAATAAAAAAAATAATAAACTAATTAAAATAATTAATTAAAGTAATTATTTTTAAGTTTTTTCAACCTTTACGCAAGTTGATATCAAAATGGCTACTCGCCGACAATACAAAATGTCTGCCAACCCGCTCTACATATACTGTATATATTTTGCTTGAACTGAGAAGAAAATTAATCTTTTTCTAGTTTTTAGAGTCATGTGATAATGTTAACTGTTGTAGAATCTTATAATATCAGTCATGGTAACAATTTCAATCAAAAGCGAAAAGTCTTTAAAACTAATTCAATTTTTATATTTTTCAGCGAGAAATTCGATGAGCGAGAGACAGAGACAGAGACAGAGAGATAGAGAGAAAAAAATGTGAGAAATACCGCTGATATCGTAAAATGAATACAGTTAACTGAAGAGAGGGAGAGGGTTGGAATGATACTTTAACGATACCTTCCAATGTCATTCCATTGCCGAAAGTAGAATATCCACATTTTTATACACCTATTTTATATATTCTCATCAAGTTTATTGGTCTTTTAACTATCAAATTAACATGGTCTTTCCTAAATAGAAATATCATAAAAACTGCCACGAATATCAAAGTTTTCTGTGGAATATTCCATATCATTCAATAAAGAGATTTCTAAAGCATATTTTAATGAATGATTTAACAAGCAATCCACCAACCACCAACAGAAAAGTCTGTCTATTAAATACTTCTATTTTATTCATATTGATCACTTCTTTTTTAGTCATATTTTTCGCGCAAAAAGTAGTCCTATAATTTTCCTTTAATTATATATAAAGTTACATTGATCTGTTCAACGTACACCTTTTTTCAATAATTTTTACTTTCCATTTGTCTTGAGCCTAGAAAAAGACGTTTTATGTGTTTGCTGTGACGAAAATGTGCTGGTTGAAAGATAAGATTAAATCCTACGAAGATTCTTCGATCATAAAGATTTTGAAAAGAGAAACTTTGAAGCAAATCGAGGCGAAGAGTTGAAAATGATGATTTTCAACAGTGTTTCGAAGAATGTAAAAAGTCTGTTACTTGTGCTCTTACATCTGTTTTTAAATAGCTTCTAATAGTGGTCTAATAGCGATTAAATGGCGTGTTTTCTTCATATTGTAATAGATAGATCCTTGATAGTCTCGATATCTCGTGATTCCATTCATCGTTGGTCCTTTCTGGTGTAAACTGCCGCTACAGCTTCATGTTCATAACCTTGGATTTAACATATTGAATAGTATGATTCCTATAGCTAAATTGCAACGCTTGATCATGACAAAGGAAATTTTATTCAGCGTCTTTTTGATGTTCGACTTTTAAGAAGAAACGATGAGGTAACTCAAGTGATCAAAACGACGTTTACTGACAATAGCCATTGTGTAACGTTTGGAGGTCGACTAGTATCGCTTTGTGAAGTAAAAGACTTATTCTGATCTGCGAGCAATTAATCAGATGTGGTATTATTAATCATCGTAACGTTCAAATATGCTAACAAACTTTCGCATTATATTGTGAATACATCATCTTACCTACTTGCCAAAAAACTGTAAAAAGTGATTAGCATGAAATTCTTTAACAATTCGAAAGATTGATATTATGGATTGAGAATCTATTGTATATTATCTGATTATCAGCCATGTCTAGCCATCAAATTTGTTTGGTCGTTAACTTGTATACTGTACTAATATTATTGTCTTTTATATACTGTATTATTTCTTAGTTCGTCAATCCAAATCGGGTGCTGGACACCGCTCAACGCTGAATGACAAACTTAACCTTGGATTTGGATTTGGAATCGTTTGATATCATTATCAAACTGGAATATGCTTTTTGTGTTGATATTATTAATATTCCCAGCCTCTGTCTAAATGACTTATACACACATTTAGAGAACAAATGGGGCATAAGTGAACCTGCATACTTTAAAGGAGATCACCTGTTTATAAACACATTCACTAATTATATCAATGAAGCTCAAAAGTATGATGATAAATTTTTGAGAAACTGGAAGAACGAAAACAGGTTAGCAATAATAGTCATACAGCAAGTGTCGGAAGAATACTCCACAATTTTAGACAGCAATCAACTGCAATATTTTATTAAAAATATTGATGATATACGATCGAAATTGCCGCATAAAATGTTCCAGAACTGATATTCAGTATTAAAGGAAGACTTTAGCACTTAAACGGAGTTGTGTGAGAAGAATCCTTGGATTCCGTTTGGGGTTCGGCTAATGCCTCTATGTTATGTTGAGCATTTGTTCTCATTACAGATGGGTGAAGAAGATAGGGAATTATTAATTTTTATAAAGTTTAAATATGAAGCCTGATACTATTCTCTATAGTATTATACAGATATAGATTCCATATTTTTGGTTGTGTGACAATAACTAAGTGATAATGTTAAGATACTTACGACAATGGCCAAAACAACAGCAGTTGGAAATTCATGGGACCAAAGGATTTATTTCGTAGGTTTTCGTTAAGGGCCGTTAGATACTTGGCGAAACACTAGCACCGAAATCGGCGAAGTAGCCAAAGGTGGAGAACCCTCTGGTCTATGGCATAGCAGGTAGTCCACTTTAAGTTATCGGATGTAATATTGAAGATAACAATTATATTGAACGTTCAAAAATCATGAATGAAAATATCAATTTTACTAAAATGCATGGTCTTGGAGATGATTTTATTATTGTTGAATTCGATAATCTTGAAGAGAATCAATTAGATTATAGTTCGTTAGCTGTTCAAGTATGTGATAGAAAGTTTGGAATTGGTGCCGACGGATTAATTATTGCTAATCCACCAGAAATGAAATTAATACAGTTTCAAATGCTAGTTGGAGAATATTTAATTCTGACGGTAGTGAACCCGAAATGTGCGGAAATGGTATTAGATGCTTTTCAAAATATCTCTTCTCAAAGGATAATACCAAGTACAGGAAACTGTTGATTAATACTCTTTCCGGTGTAATTCTATGGGAAATTTTAGACGATGGACAAATTAGGGTGGACATGGGTCCGCCTATTTTACAATCATCCAACGTTCAAGCAGAAGTTTTAAGGACAAATATAAAAATAAAGGATAAAGAATTTCCAATCAATTTGATCAGCATGGGAAATCCTCATTGCGTAATTTTCACCAAAGAGGATACTGATAGTCTTGCTATTGAATATGGTCCAAAAATAGAATGTCATAGTATTTTTCCATTGAAAACAAATGTAGAATTCGTTAATATAATTTCGAATAATCGTAGTAAAATAAGTATTTGGGAAAGAGGTTGCGGTATTACAATGGCTTGCGGTACAGGAGCTTGCGCATCAGTTGTAGCAGCAGTTTTAAATAAATTAACAGAAGAATCGGTAATTGTTGATTTACCAGGTGGTCAATTAAAAATTGATTGGAATGGTTGTGAAAATTCAAGTGTCTTTATGACCGGAAATGCTGAATTTGTATGTTTCCGTAAGTATTCCATATTAAACGTAAAAACCTAATAAAATATCAAAGATATTAGAAATATTTAGTCATTTGAAAATTATTCAAATTTCATTCAAATTTCTTGGATAAAAATGTCAGATTGATTGAATTATTTTCTTTTCCTACCGTTAGATATTTGCTATTGTTTGTGTTTGTTCCTTGCAATGCCAACGCCATAAATAGTACAGTATATATTATTGTAGAATAAATTTCATTTATACAGTTGAACAAGAATGCTTTTCACTAATACATTAAGAACAAATAAACAAAAATACGACGTATTGAATGATGCTCTCTCTTTTGTCTATTTTCAATCATTCAATAAATTGGTTACGAGTGAATAATTCAATAATAACTGTTTTTACTGTCATTTTCACCATTAACATTTATATCTTAATTTTTGTTGTTTTACTACTCAGAATTAACTGATTTGTTAGAGAGAAACTGAAATTAGAATGTTGAAAGATACTGCCACTTCTTCGTGTTAAAACTTATTAATTAATAAAGAACTTCAAAGTCTAAAATTATGAAATGTTTTGTGTTGTTAATAGTAAATAAATTGTATATAGTATAAATACGGCTCAAGTTTATGAATAATGAAAATGGTAGGGAAGAAATCAATAAATGAATTGATTTTCTTTGTTTTTTCGTGGAATACTATAAATACCTGAAGAATTACGATCAGAAATATCTAATTGAATGAAAAAACATGTTTGAATAATAAATTAACTAGTATCCTGAAATACAAACTAGTAAATTGAAGGCCAAAAATGTCTATATCTTTTATGATTATATCCTGATTAGCTAGTAAACTTATCTTAGTGATGTTCAACTGTTGAAATGAATCGCAAACAGTTTGAGCTCTTCTTGTTATTACGGATAAATTAAAGCATATTTCAATATCATTTCCGGAAAAAACGCAAGCTTTGATCTCCTTCCCTTTTTGTACAGTAGCAGTTGTGTCTAGAGAAGAAAGTTCAAAAGTCAGTGTTTCTCTCAAATGATTAACTTTTATATATAAATATACATGTAACGCATATTGTATCAATGTAGTCTACATTAATGTTGAGTGTTAATTCGTCATCTTTTGTCAATGAAATACTAAAGGTTCCTGATATTTGTACATTATTCTTGTAAAACGAATAAATTCCATGAGATTTTTCAATCTTGACATCTATTGGACAATTGACTATTGTAAAATGAAATGAAAAAAGATAATGTTTAAAAGTCTACTTACCGTTCATTAAAGTTGTATTCGTAATGTTCCTATTATAAATTACCACTTCGGATGTAGATATAAAATTCGATCCAGAGCCATATGATGTTGAATGTGGCCGAAAGAGAACATATCTTCCAATAAGTGATTTATTATTATGTATGACAAACGTCTCCCAAATCAATTCAGTAGAAACTTGAACTTCTGAAATTAATTTGCATTGAGGTGATTCTAAAGAATCGGAAATATCGTTTAAAAACACTTCAATATGAGATGCGACGCTTGCTGAAAATAGGTAGTAGATATATAATAAAGGGTACAGAATATTTTAATCTATAAAAGGAAAAAAGTATAATTACAAATGCCTCTTGCTCTGGTCATTACAATTGTTTCAATTTGATATAAATTCAACATATCAATTCTCAAAAATGCTCCTACATTTTGTAAAGTGGAACTCTTTAAAAAGCTACTAAAGTTCTCATCATAAAGCTTTGATATTAGTATATCATTCTCGTTTGTGTAGAGAAATACCTTACTTGTAGCCATTTGAAATATAACATTATCTATAAACAAATATTAAGGAGGATCTTTGGTACTAGCTTTATTTTGTCTCTTACCATCTTCTTTGATGAAAGTTCCTCTAATTCTTATTATAGAAATTGCCAGTATATTTATATTTATCTTTTGAACCCTTAGAAATCTTCCAGTGCAACTGCAATTCTTACAAAAGAAATTTTCAGGATTGTTTGCTGCCTGCTGTGGAATGAGTGATGTTTGTTGAAAGCATAATTGTCCTCCGATTAGCAACTTAGTTTCTGTATAAACTTCAAACATGTCAAGATTACCTGTAAAAATATGATTACTTATATGTTATTGATTTTAATAGGCAATCAAAGATTATAGTCTTTACTTGCGCTATCTCCATTAATTACGCAAACTTCTGTTATCGTGTATAGTCCTTGAAGGTCAACAGCCCACCAAGGACGGTTCGAGTAATCTACTATAGACTTTGCAGTTTTAAAGATGGCATCCATCAAAGCTCTACTGGCATTATTATTCTTAACAGCAGTGACTTGTTGGTATGCTGGACGATTCGTTGCAATATTATCTTCAATAGAAATATAACAAAAACTAAAAGATAAATATACAACAACCAATTGAATTGTTATAAGAAGATGATGTTCTAATTTCATCCTTATAATCTATTGAAATTGTTGGAAAGGGAAAGAGTTGGACAATACAAGTTGAACATTTATAAACTGTTCAGTAATAATAAAGAAAAAAACATAGTTTCTCAATATAAATAGACTAACGAAATGTATCGATTCATTTATGTAAATACATATGTTTTTTATATACATAGTTGTCATGATAGAACATATACAACACACAAAGTATCATCAAATAAAGTTATTATAATCCTTTTAAGATAATCATTAGTTTAAATACGATAGCTTCAATAGATTTTATAGAAAGTTTATTGAATATCTAAATGGCAATGAGATTAGAAACAATGCGAGAAATATGTCTTTCCATGTATTCTATTCGCTAAACACATTATATCAACTTCCTTCTCATATGAAGATCTCTTTTATGACCGTGCAAAGCAATGTCTTCACGGAACACGTATCATATGACTGACGACACAGCGTCCGGTGAATTTTTTATGAAGGTTTCTGCTCTGGTCGCGAGCTCCACGTAGTTGAACACCTCCACTTTTGCTGTTTAGATTAAGTAGGATTGATTGTTCAGAATTCCGTACATTCTTTTGCAACTGTGTTTCTGATATTGAGGGCAGTTTGTCTATTACTTTTCACCTGGTGGTTGCTTCATTTAATACCCAGAATTTCTACAAGAGCCTCGCTAACCCTGCATAGTACTTTGTTTCAAGTAGGTCCTTCACTAAGGGATATCCTACATTCAATTTCCTATCTAGTGGCAGAGGGCTTTGCTTGTCCTGGTGTGCCTTCAACTTTCTAAGTTGTACGTTCATCACCTCTTCAACCTATATAATTGCATATTTGCTATCCTCCTAGGAGGATAAACAGCTTATCTCCTTTAAAGTATGCAGGTTCACTTATACCCCATTTGTTCGCTAAATGTGTATGTAAGTCATTTAGACGGAGGCTGGGAATATTCATAATATCAATGTAACAAGCATATTCCAGTTTCATTATTATATGCTAAGTAAGCGATCATTGATTTTAAAATGCTTATTTCCGAGGATTGTGTATCCGATAACTTGACGCATTATTGGATTATCGTTTCTTTAATGACCTGAGTTATATCATCGCTTCTACTTAGAAGTCGAACATCAAAGAGACGCTGTATGCTTGTTTGACATCGATGAATAAAGACATAAATCAGTAGTAAGTCCTCTTCTTCATTGGTTTGTATGGAAAATATGAGAAATACTCTTGGAGAATGATTCAAGAGTTTTTTAGTTTTTGATTTATATTCATTATGGGATGTTTCAACATCTTGATTACATTTTCGAATAAAATCTTTGCGTGTCGTTTTCAAGTATTGCAACTTTTCTATAAAGATCTCAATATTCAATACGTTAGGTCCATATTCCAATGCTTCTCTGAAGAGAAAATCCTTTGGGCTTTCTTCTGAAAAATTGACAAGATGAATGTATAATACGCTATTTGGGTTAGGATTAAATATCAAATTTTCTATTCTGCTAAATTCCTGCCAATTTCGCGTATAAAATTATCACTTATCGAATTTCTATTTAGAACAATAAATAGACAAAAATGACCTGTTTCTTCATAAGGGAAAGACACTTGGTCCACTTTTACAGATGATGCCAAGTTAATAGCTGATATTGTATTTATAGAACGAGGTTTTTATTTTGTCCATGATAGAGAAGGTTATCTTAGACAAGCCTCGACAGTAACCAGTGGATGATCCAGAAAAACGGTTGTTGATGCCAAATATCATTGGATGGAAAGAGAAAGAGTGGACACCGAGTGGGAAATATTTATGACAATGAGAGCATTTGAAGAAATAGCGAAGAAAGATGTAAATTAAAGGTGTAAAACATCCGGACACCGTAAATTTTGATATGCCAATTTTTAAAACACTCCAAAAATGTTATCTTTGTTTTAGATGAGAAAAGAGTTATGAAATACTGAAAAAAAAAACTAGAGCGAATTATCAGGAAAATATTTTTTATTAATTTTCATTGTTTTTTTCTTTATCCGAACGTCGTTCACCGTTGATCGCTAACAAGCATCCAGGTGTGGGATGACGAACTATGACTTATAGTATTATGCTCCATATTTAAACTTTATGAAGGTTAATAATTCCCTATCTTCTTCACTCATCTGTAATGAGAACAAGTGTTCAACATTACATAGAGGCATTAGCCGAACCCCAAACGGAATCCAAGGGTTCTTGTCACACAACTCCGCTAAAGCGCTAAAATCTTCCTCTAATGCTGAATAGCACATCTCAAACATTTTATTCGGGAATTTCGACCGTATATTATCAATATTTTCAATTAAATATTGCAGTTGATTGCTGTCTAGAATTTTGGAGTATTCGTTTGACACTTCCTTTATAATTCCAATTGTTGATCTGTTCTTACATTCCCACCTTTTCAAGAATTCGTCAGGATACTTACAAGCTTCATTGATATAGTCGGCGAATGTTTTTATAAACAGCTTATCTCCTTTAAAATATTTAGGTCTTTTTATGTCCCATTTCTTCTCTAAATGTGTGTATAAGTCATTTAGACGGAGGCTGGGAATACTCATAATATCTGAATAGAAAGCAGATGGCAGTTTCATTATGATATCAACATACGGCAAGTGATCAATGGCTTTAAAATGAGTACTTCCAAGGATTGTATAGCCAATAATTTTATTGTATATTGGATATATACATCGTCTTATAATTTGAGTTATATCATCGTTTCTTCTTAGAAGTCGAACATGAAAAAGACGCTGTAAACACGTTTGCCTTTGAGGAATAGTGACATAAATGAGTAGCAAATCCCGTTCTCCAATGGTTTGTATGGCACATACAAGAAACACTTGATGTGAACTACTCAAAAGTTGTTCCGTCTCTGATTTATATTTATTATAGAATTGAATAGCATGTTGATAAAAGCGTTGAATGAAATCTTCCTGTGTCGTGTTCAAGTGTTGCAACGTTACTATACAAATCAGAGTATTCAATATGCGAAATCCAAATGTTAAAACTTTTCTCAAGAGGAAATTCAATGGGGTTTGTTCTGGAGAATCAAATGCAGTATTTGAAATATAGATCAGTTTTTATTCTTAAACATATAAAGAGTAATACAGTAGTATAGATTTGATAAAATGAGATAGTTGATTTTATGGAATTTTCTACTCTACTAAATTGATTAAACAATAAATAAACAAAAATGACCTATTTCGCCGTTAGGGTAAGATACTTGATTCACTCTCACATATGAACCAGTAGAGTTTTCCATATTTTCCATAACAAACTTTCAGATCAGAATTCCTAATTTAACAGCATGTAAAATGCACTGACTCCGAGTTCATCTCAAAATAGATACAAGCTTATCAACATATTCTTATCCTATAAAAAAAATAGGTGTACAAGCTTGTTGATTTTCTTAAGAAAACACAAGTTTTTCTTTGTTATAACCAAAATTGAAGATTAAGGAGGAACACATTGAGAAATTACAAATAAAAATTGTTATCAGCAAGACAATTGTCTTGACAGTTTACTAATTTGTCCTCAGAACTTTATCATATATAACTTTTTTTATCTACTGTATATGCGAGATGACGTGTTATAGTGAAATTTGAAAGTTAAGGAAACAAAATTTGGAAAATTGTGGAAAAGTATTTCTACATTCATTAATGTATGTTTTTAATAAGGATAAAACTATAAAAATTCATTCAAATACTTGAACAAGTTTCAATTAATATTAGCTTGAAATTTGTCTAATTATTAATTTAAGATTTAATAAAGATAATATAATAATCGTTTAGGTTAATGGGATTGCAATCTTCCTAAAATATAAACCTAACAAAGTAAGAGACAAAGATAAGATAATAGACGAAATCTTCAGAGCTAGTCTTACTACGTAGAGGTGGGTACAATCTGAAGTTGATAGGAGTTTCTTTTTTTTACTTTGCTATTGTAGGAGGTTACATGAAATCTGTGGCACAGTCTTGGAATTGACTAATAGATTGACCAGTTCGGCAATCTGGTGAGTTAGCCATTCTATATAATATAGGATCTTTAGGGGAGATGTTTTTCTAAAAGGTCAATACAGCTATAATTTATGACGTATACCACTGCACCATTTAAGTTCGTCATTCCGGTGTCCGGCACCCGATTTGGGTTGACGAACTAAGAAATAATACAGTATATAAAAGACAATAATATTAGTACAGTATACAAGTTAACGACCAAACAAATTTGATGGCTAGACATGGCTGATAATCAGATAATATACAATAAATTCTCAATCCATAATATCAATCTTTCGAATTGTTAAAGAATTTCATGCTAATCACTTTTTACAGTTTTTTGGCAAGTAAGTAAGATGATGTATTCACAATATAATGCGAAAGTTTGTTCAGTATATTTGATTAAATGCTTGAAGATCAGAATAAGTCTTTTACTTTACACAGAGATATTGGTTGACCTCCAAACATTACACAATGGCTATTGTCACAAAACCACGTTTTGATCACTTGACTTATATCATCGCTATATCAAGTAATGGAAACAATTTAACCTATGACTTGGTAAACAGATTAGATTTACTATGATCACGACAACAATAATAGGCTTAAAGTTAACAATCTCTATTATCTCAATAGTAGCATAATTTTCTTTGTATAACTAATCCAAGGTTTTTAATGTCTTCTTTCTCGTACCATTCAGTTTTCAGAACAAGATTATTATAATTTGTATAGATTTTCATAGGCAAATGTATTTCCTAAAAGTTTGAAAAGTTGATAAATTTAATAATTGCAGTTTTATCCAGGCTAATGGGTGTTACTAAATAACAGATTATATATAGACATAGATAGCTAGAAGGTAATCTGTTAAAAGAAGAGAGGATAGTACACTAACCGTAAATAGAGTTCCCGCAAAAGAGAATTGATTTCCATGTAAATCAATTAGAATTTGAGTATATTCTTTAGAATTCAATAGGAATCTTTTAACGGAATTATCATTAAAATCTCTTGTAATTTTCGATTTAAAACCACTTATTGAATTACGAATCGTAAATTTCGTAATATTTAATGCTAAATTATGGAATTTAATTAAAAGAAAACAATTAGAAAAACGTTCAATTTTTAATGAATGTTCAAAGATTGAATACTTTTTCCAATTGCTTGAATTTTTATGTTTTCAATTACATTTTCTCTATAAAAACCAAAAATTATTCAATAAATATTAAATAAGGGGAAAAAACGTACTTTTGCAGTTTAATATTTTGCAGTCTTTGTTTATTTAACCTTACAGTTTCTTTTAGGAAAAAAAAACAACAGCAATAGGTGGAATTAATTGGTAGAATTAGTATAGAAAACCACGAATAGACTACTTTAACGTCGGTTGATAGTTGAAATGAATCGATAACATCTAAAACCACAAAATATATATATATATATAGATAGCATTAATAGCAAGTTTGTGTAATGAACGATTCTATTAACGAATTATAAGGAAATTAGTCCAAATGAAGAGGTTAATAACGGCCGAAAAGAATGTTTGATATACAAAGTTTTCGTCGTATAACTCGGAAAAGTCTATGTCGAATCGAGACGCTTTGTATTTGCTGAGTAGAACCAATATAAAAACATTTGGGAAGACGACTAAAGTGATGAAAAAGTATACAAATTTACTGTTGCTTATAGATGAATTTCCGAAATAGTTTGTTAAGAAACAACTCGAATAACTAGATTCATAGGCCTAATTAAAAATGATGAGATTATTAACGCATTTCACCTATTGATTATATAATAATTACGTTCTCTTTCAACGTAAAAGAATATATTAGAAATCCTCCAATAAAGCATAATTTCAGTATATAAAGATATTTCAGTTTTCCAGAAAAGAAACTCTTTGTATTGGATGCCGAATTGATTAATTTAAATATTGTTATCAATAGACTAGTATAGGATGAACCGAGAAATGAAAAACTATTGAATATTGCCGCTAATTTACACCGGAAACTATTTAACCATTGAGTTTGTTTATATATATAATCGTCACCAATTTCAATATGGAAACTAACTATAATTAAACTATGAAAGATAAGTAAAAACTGGTAAAAGATTAATGAAAATAATAGAAATTTATAAAAGTTCTTGTAGAATTTTCTCATCCAAAAAAAGGTGAATAAACTCGTAACGAAGATTAGTAGAAAGTAAATAATAATTACAACTAATTTAATATTTGTTAAATATCTTGAACAGTAGTTTAAATCCTTGTTTGAACGACCTTGATAATGACAATTTGTATTTAATAAATAAGTTGAACAGCAGATGAAAAATTCATTAGTAAATATTTGTTTAATCTTTTGATAACCTTGAAATATATTAAATTTTTCAATTGACCTAAATTCTGTTGAATTTAAATGAAGATTTTGTAAATTAAGTAAATAATTCAAGTCATTTTTTCCAAATGTTAAAATAATTGAATGAATAATTTGTAAATTCCTTAAATTTTTCAAATTAATGAATGAATCATTCATTAATTGTAATTCCATAAAAGATAATTGTAATGTAAGTAGTGAAGAGAGATGTTGAAATGTCTTATCAATTATACGAATTGGAAGTTTCTCCAATTTAAGGAATTGAAGTTTCTTCATATTTTGAAAGGTTGTTGAATTAATATCATTTAAAATTGTATTAGATATTTCCAGAATAGCCAGATTAGAGAATTCTTTAATTTTATCGCTTGACCTCAATTTACAATTTGAACAGTTAAAAAGAATTATATGAATATTTGAAATCTGTTTTAAAAGCTCTTCCGGTCTATTAACATCAATTAATCGAAGACTTTTTACAATAATTTCCCGTTCAATTTTTTCCCTAAAACTTGATTGAAAATTGCATAAAATCTCGTATCTTTCTTGACAAACGCAACTTTTCGGGCAAGTAAAGAATTTTTTACAATATAACTCATCGTCGCCGCGTTTACAGTTGATGACGTCATCGCAAACATTATTAAGATATATGTAATTAGAATTTTGACATTTGAATTGGCCAATAGGAAAGAATTTGTCTTTTGATAATTAATTAATTAATACGTTACGAAGGGTAAGTATTATAAATTTTTGGATAATTGAGAAAACGTCAGCAAACGTTGACGTTTTAACCCTAACCCTAACGTTTTCTCTCACTCCTAAAAAAAGGATTTAAATTCATACCGCAATCAATTTCATCGTCGCCAAATGGACAATGTTTTATTCCATCGCAAAATTGATAGATTTTTATACAATAATCCAAATATAGACATTGAAAAGTTCCTTTTGAACATGTCTGTTTACATTTACTCAATTGTAAATAAGGAGGATGCACTTTCGTTAAAAGTCTTCCAATAGATGAATAGCTAAGATGACAGAGGTATTGATTTGTGAGAGTTTCATACGCGTGTCCTATATTGTAACAATCGTTAATTTCTTGTATTGCTTTGTTGAATTATTTTAGAATAGTTTTAAGAAGAAATTAAAAACACTTGAATATAAAATTATATATATATATATATATATGTTAAACTTAGGCCTTCTTCATATGCTAAACAATAAATATTTTCATCTTCGGACGATGAACAATCAATTTTTAAATCGCAGTAAAAATGATTTGAAAGACATTTTGAATCGCAATTCATAAAATTTCTGTGTTTACAATCCTCTAATAAAATGTTTAAATAGAGTTTTATATTGAAATTTAAAAGTTAAAGTTTACCTCGATCACAAATTTCATCACTTTGATCAAAACAATTAATTACACTGTTACAAGTTGACGTTTTATCAATACATTGTCCACTTGCGCATTGAAATTTTGCTGTATTTTCGCAACTTTCATAGACTAGACGTTTTAAAGGTAAATTATTATTAATTATTAAATTTATTAATTAATTAATTACCGCAATTCTCTTCATCTTTTCCATTTGAACAATCATTTCTAGAATCGCAGAGAAATTTTACCAATACTTTCTCTGTGGTACTACATAAGAAATAATGAAAATTATTGCATTCAATTTCATCTTCTCCATTTGGACAATGTTGAAAATTATCGCAAACGTAAATTGAATTAATAAATATCTTTGCAGATTTGCAGAAGAATGTTTCATGTAAAAATTTTAAATTCGTATTTTGGAAATGAATCGATCCATTTTGAAATGGAAAATTTTCAACTTTTAATAAAGAAAAGAAAAGATAAAAGATCGTTCAATCATTTTATGAATTGTTACTTGAATAATGTTCGCATATTGCTAC